ATATATGGAAGATAAATAGTGTCTGCTAAAAATTATTGTCGAACAAGGTGACAATAAGCTTCAATATGTTTGGTACGTTCATGAAACTCAGGACTTTTAAAAATGTAAATGACGCTCTTATTACCACAATAAAGTGGTGTAGGAGTGGCGACAATAACACCCATATAAGCAAGAAACCATCAAAGCCAAATGGTTTGCGCCATAACCCTATATTCTGCTTTTGTTGTAGATAGGGTAATAACATATTGCTTCTTACTTTTCCAAAAGAAAAGAGAGTCACCAAGAAATATGCATAATCCTATAATTGATTTGCGGTCAATTGGATTTCCTGTGAAATCTGAATCTGTATATGCCCGAAGTTCAAGAGAGGAAGAAAAAGAGAAAAACAAAGCCTGTTGTTGACTATCCCTAATATAACGAATGATTCGTAAGACAATGGCTAAGTGAATAGACCGATGAGCGCTCAAGAATTGATTAACGAGATGCACAACACAAGCAATATCTGGGCAAGAGTCAAATATATAAATTTACTAACCAATTGTCAATAAAATGTTGGATTAGGGAGTAGTTCATCATCTATTGCACGAAGTTTGATCTTCAATTCAGTGAAGTTATCAACAATATTAGTATCATCTATGAGGCGAGCTTGGGAGACGATTTTCGAGACATACTTACGTTGAGATAACAGATAGCCACGAGGATAATAAGCAACCTCTAGGCCAAAAAAATATCGCAAGAGCCCCAAGTCCTTCATTTCAAATACTTGATTGAGTTTCTATTTAATCTTATGAATGGTACCCTGATCATCGCCATATATTTTCAGATCATCCACATAGAGTAACAAAAGTGTGACCAGTAGTAGTGTCAGACATGAATAGAGCTAGATCATGATGGCTTTGTTGAAATCCCGCTTACACGACTGCATGACAAATTTTTTCAAACCAAGCACATGGTGCTTGTTTGAGTCCATATAAGGTGCAGAGCAGCCAACATACTCGATTATGAGAATATGTAACTCCAGGAAGTAGCTTCATATATACTTCTTCATTTAGATCATCATTAAGAAATGCATTTTTGACATCTAGTAGATGTAAAGGCCATTGTCGGATGGAAGCAACATAAATAAGTGTCTGAACGGCAGTCATACGAGCTACTGGGGCAAAGGTGTCGACAAAGTCAATTCCATATTGTTAATTGTATTCTTTTGCGACCAAACGAGCTTTATATCTTTCAAGACTGCCATATGCTTTTGTTTTGATTTTATAGAACCACAGAGAACCAATCACATTCTTTCCTTTTGGAAGAGGGACTAGAACCCAAGCATGCATCCGATCAAGAGCATTCAGTTCTTCGGCCCATTGCCAGCTGCCATTCCACCTAATTGGTGGCTTCTTTGTAGGTTTGTGGCTCAGAATAAGAATAAATGGAGGCAAGTAAGGCTTCATGCCGAGGTAAGTAGGTTTCATAATCAGCAAATAGAGAAGGCGGAACAGAGACACACGTATTATGGTGCACAATAAGTGAATGTACACGATCATCAAGTGCAGGAGCTTGACCTGGAGCAGCAACAGAATGATCTACCTCCAGGGAATTTGTTCCGAAGATAGGTTATGATGACTGAGGTGCAGAAGGTGATGAATCAATATCATAAAATTGAATAAGAAAAGCCAAATCAGAAGGAGAATTGGTAATAGTGGATGTCAAGTAAAGATGAATGTCCTCAGAGAATGCATGTCAAGATACTCGAATTATCTTTGTTTTTGGATCATAACACCTATTGTTGATAATCAGAATATCCCAAATAACAACACTTCACTGCTTTGGCCGATAATTTGTCTCGCTCAAATGTAGACAACAAAACAAAGCAAGTATAAAAAAAAACATGAACGGTAGACTAATCAGGGGGATATGAAAAAAATCTCTCAAAAGATGAGCACCTAGAGAGGACAGAAGAAGGCATAATGTTTATTAGATGGGCAGCGGTGCGAACTGCTTCAGCCCCAAAAAGACTTTGGAACAAAGCTAGATAAAAGAAGAGTCCTTGTAGTTTCTAATAGGTGACGATTTTTAGTTTCATCAACACCATTGTGTTCAGGAGTATAAGGGCAAGATTTTTTATGTTGAATATTTCTATCTAAAAGAAATTTTAGAAGCATCTCACTAATGTACTCCCCACCAAAATCTGAGCGCATGGTTTTAATTTTGGTAAAAAACTGGGTTTCAACATAGGAATAAAATTTGGTAAAGGCATTGAAAAATTCAATGCGACTATTCATAAGAAAACACCCATGTATATCGCGTGTGATCGTCAATAAAGGTAATAAAATATCTTGAACCCCTTTTGAAGAGATAGGAGCGGACCCCCATATATTAGTATGCACAAGATCAAATTTAGAAGTGGAAATTGTACTACTTTGATTACATGACAAACCATGTGACTTAGCAAGCTTACATGGCTCACAATGTTTAACATCAACAGACACTTTATTAGTGGTGGGACCAAGAACACCACGAGACAATAAAAATTGTAACCTAGAGGCAAAAACATGACCAAGACGTTGATACCATAAAATACTAGTATCAAGAGAAGTTATGGCACTGACATACGGAGGTGTTTCCAAATAAAGGGAGTCCAAAAAGTATAGATCACCAGCTTTAAGCCTAGCCATAATCAATTTCCTTAACCGCTGATCTTGCGCATAACAACTAGAGGGAGAAAAGGTAACATCATAACTAGAGTGAGTAATTTGACCAACATAAAGCAAATTCATGGTGATAGATAGAACATGATAAACATCAGAAATGTGTAATTTACACAGAGGGATCAGAAACAACGGTATTAGAGCCAACCTGAGAGACTTTCATAAATTGGCCTATTGGCAGTGCCAATAGTGTCAGAAAAGGGTTTACATTCAACTAGAATAGACTCATTAGCAGTCATGTGTTGAGAAGCACCCGAGTCTATCAACCTAGAAGCGAAACTATTATTACATGTAGTGGACGAGCTGGATTGAGAAGAAAGTCGGGATTGAGAGAGCATAGACTATAATTACTCAATTGTGAGAATTACTAAAGAACTAACAACAGTAGCATTTATGGCAGTTTGATCATGAATGCATCTTTCGAAAAGCTGACTCGACTCTACAGCAGCTGCCATAACAGGTTTCTTCTTCTTCTTTGGGCATGTGTATTTCAAATGCCCAAGTTCCTTACAGTAATTGCATTTAACAGATGACATATCCTTGCGTTCAACAAAAATGAGCTCTTGACCATACAAAAGCAACCCAACCAATATGAGATATCTAACATCTAATATTAAAACTACAATGGTTAAAAATTCATGTACTTTGCCCGTAAGAGTCTCGTGCTAAATTGAGACAGGTTATTTTATTTATTATCATATTTATTTTTTTATTTTTTTATTTTTAAGTGAACACGACTAAGGCGAGTTACTCAGACTCTGCCGAAAGACTCACATCAACCAAAGTCCGAGTACCTTGGTCAAATCGTGTTTCAAAACACTACATTCAACATTAAAAATTAGAAAATAAGTGATCTTCAATTAATTGATGAACCCAATGGTCTAAATCCAATTAACACTACCCAAAATACAAAAGCATTTCATAGAGTGAAACTAGCGATAAATCCTAGTCATACAAAGAGAATAAGCAATGAACCCTAATCCTAGCATTGATGTATAGAGAAAACAAGTAAAATAAAAAATAAAAATAAAACTTTATTTAACAAAGGAACACAACTCAAATTGCCTTGCTTGAGTCCCCCAAACTCTGACGTACCTAATATATATAAATTCTATGCAAATATAAATTATTTATTTAAGATTAATTTAATTTTGGAGTAGATATTATGTTAGGGTGCTCATACTATAGAGTAATTTATCATTGTACTCAATAAATTTTGAACACTTCTATACCTTTGTTATGTACATGGAGTATTTTTTAATATGGGTATTTTTATTCATTATGATAGAGGCGAGTCTTCCACATGGGGAGCGATATCACCCTCGTGGAGCACACTAATAGCATTTAATGCTCGATGTGGGAGATATGATATCCCATGTAGAAGACGTCATACCCCTCTAAATGCCCAAAAATTGCATTTACTAAAAAAACTCCACAAAACAAGGGTGTATATAAGTGTCCAAATTTAACAGATCCGGACTTGAACCTGGACCGATCGGATCCGGACCTG